AATCCCGTCGGCCGGGATTAACCCCGGCCGAGACGGACGCCGTCTTTGCCGACGATCCGCTTCCACCGGATTAAAATGCGCTCTCCTTGTCTTCCTCAGAATCGCTTCCAGAAGGCTCGCAGACATGGCAAAGTAAGTGACAAGTGCCAACACAAAGAAGGACGCGCGCGCGCGCTCACGTAGTCCCAAAAATCAAACGAGTCGCCCATTTGATGTGAAAGCAGACTTGAAAAGGCTTTTCCCGAGGAGAGCAGAGCGAGCTCCCGCGGCTCCGTTTTGAAGGAGCTCCCCAAGCCAGCCACCATTGGGCCGGCTTGGGGGCTCCCCCCCATTTGGCGTCTTTTGGCTCATGAGCTAGCTCATTGAAGGAAGCGGCGGCCGTCACTCCCTTGCCAACGAGCGGAACGCTCGCCGCGACCCGAACGCTGAGACGCCGGCCCGAGATGCCATCGAAGTCGAGGCCGCAGTCGGCCGGAGAGCGCTCGTCCGCTCGTCCGCTCACCGGCCGCCGACATCCTCTTTCCTTGCCTCGTCCGACGGCCGTTGAGGTCTGCCCCCGGAAAGCGCTTGACCGTTTTGCTCCCTCTTTGGTTGGTTGCCTCGTGCAGAGTTTTCAAGAAGACCAGCGGCAACGGCGGCCTCACGCTCTACCTGGGCAAGCGAGACTACGTGGACGACGTCAACGATGTGGAAAAACTGGGTAAGCGCATCCGCGCGTGGATCGGGCGCCCGAATTGGGGAGGACTGACCAAAAATGTCTCGCAGATGGCGTTGTCAAGTTGGACCCGACGGACTTCGGAGACAGAAAAGGTGAAGTGACCCGCTCTCCGCCCCGCGCCGACGTGCCGGCACGTTCGCATCCTTACACGGCGCATGCTAACATTCAAACATGGCGAGACGCTAACACGCGGCCAATGGAACACACCAAGACGGCCATATTCAAATACAGCGAACGCGCTAACACCGTCGTCGGCTAACGCTCTCGCGCCCGCGGCCGGCCGGCCGCCAGTGTTTGTCCAGCTGGCGTGCGCCTTCCGCTACGGCAGCGACGACCTGGACGTGATGGGCTTGTGCTTCCGCAAGGACATCTGGATCCAGCAGCTGCAGATCTTCCCGGACGACCACAAGCCGGCGCTGGGCGAAATGCACGACACGCTCCTCAAGAAGGCCGGCGACGACGCCCGCCCCTTCACCTTTGAAGTACCGTACTGTACTGCCGGCGCACGACGCGCGCTCGTCCCGCCCGTGCCGCTCGCTGCTAACAAGCAACATGTGGCTCGCCGTCCACACGCAGATTCCCAACAACCTGCCGTGTTCCGTTTCCCTGCAACCGGGCCCTGATGACAAGGGGAAGGTACGCCACGCCACGACGCAATGCACGACACCGTTAAAAGAACTGAGCGCAAAAGGGGGTGGGGGGGCAACCATGAATATTGGCTTTGCCAAGGAAAGAAGGAACAAAGAGGGCAAAAAAAAGAAAGCGAGTGTGCGCGTTTCAGGCCTGCGGCGTCGACTTTGAGGTGAAGACCTACCTGGCCCACGAGAAGTGCGACCCGGACGAGAAGATCGTCAAGAAGTGAGTTGAGCGCGCGCTTGTTTGCCGCCCCCCCCGCTCGCCGTGACGCCGGACGTGTCCCCGGCAGGGACACGGCGCGCCTCATCATCCGCAAAATCCAGTACGCGCCGTCCCAGGTGGGCGCCGGGCCCAAAGCGGAAATCTGCAAGAGCTTCATGATGTCGGACAAGCCCGTCCACCTGGAGGTCTCCATGGAGAAAGACGTAATGCGCCGACGCCGTAACAGCAGCGGCCGCGGCCTTTCAGCCGCCCGCGTGGCCCGTGCGCCGCACACACACAAAGCTGTCTTTTAGTCTTTTTATTTTTTTCCAAAGCAAATTGACCAAATCGCCGATGGATTACCGGTACACTCGTCGAAGTTGGTTGTGGGCAGCGTGGGATCGGGTCCCACTCAGTGACGGTGTGCGCGTGGGTGTGAATGGTCGTTTGTCTCTCAATGTGCTCTGGCGACCAGTTCAGGGTGTCGTCTGCCTTCCCCCAAAGTCAGCTGGGATGGGCTCCAGCTACTCCCCGTGACCCTCTTTGGGGTTGGAAATGGATGGATGCAAGTTGTATGCATAAAAAAAAAAAAAAAAAGTTGCTTTGATAGGGGGAAAAAATGGTGTGAGTTTTTGTCAACATGAAAAAGGCTGAGAAAGGCTTTTTGCAGCGTTTTCCCCTCTGGACTGCAGCTCTACTTCCACGGCGAGGCCATCCCCATCAAAGTCAAAATCAACAACGAGAGCAACAAAACGGTCAAGAAGATTCAGGTGTCGGGTGAGTGCGCCGCCGCGCCCCGCCCCGCCCCGCCCGTCCCGGCCGGCGCCGGCTCACCGGAGTTCTTTCCGCCTCGCAGTCGACCAAACCACCGACATCGTCCTCTACTCGGCCGACAAGTACACCAAGTGCGTCTTTTCCAAGGA